TCACTCACCCCCCAATCTAATATACAAATCGAGACGGCTAACAAAACTATATTGAAAGCCTTTAAAAAGAAGATGGATGAAGCCAAAGGCAAATAGGCTGATGAGTTACCTAGAGTGTTATGGGTTTTCAGACCCACCACTAAAGTCTCTAGTAGAGAGCCATTATTCCATCTAGCATTTGGGACAAAGGCTATGTTGCCCATAGAGATTGGCCTCTCGAGCTCATAAGATGAGCTTAGATTAGAATAGGGGAATGAGGAAGCCTTGAGGGCCAATTTGGATTTGACCAAGGAACAAAGAGATATAACTCTAACCAAAATAATAGCTTATCAACAAAAGGTAGTTAACTTTTATAATAAAAGACTTAGACATAAAAATATAAAAAAGGGTGAACTAGTACACAAAAAGGTAGAAGCTTTAAGAGTTGATGACTGAGGTGGAAAATTGACCCCAAATTGGGAGGGCCCCTATGTTGTTAAAGAGGTTGTCCATGACACGACCTACAGATTGCAAGACATGAATGACAATCATATTCCAAAAACATGAAATACGAATAACCTTAAAATTTACTACCAGTAAAAGATGTAGAGTCGAGCTCGCACTTGTAATAAAAATTCAAAACTTTTAACCACTCCTAGTATCAACCGAACTAATGAAACATTTGACCTGGTACTTGAGTAATTAAATCCAATTTAGCATATCTTTAATCCGAACTAGCACTTGAATAATCAAATTCAATTTATCATATTAGATCCTTAAGTTAATTTAATACATTTTGTTTATTTTTAACATATCTCATTATCTTATTGAAGCTAAAACTTAGAATATTCATTTTGGTAATTTGAAGTAAATAGTAAAGCAAAAAGATAAAAATTAAGCTGAAACTTGAACAAAAACTATTTATATTGATTATGATAGAATTTCATCAAACTGAGTTTCAAAAGTTGACAGAAGCTTTGGTGAGTGAATTGATCCAATGTAATTACAACAACCCGACCTCTCACTTTACCCAAAAAAAATATAAAAAGAAACAAAAAATAAAAAGACAAGTTCTTCGTTCTCTTCAATCTCCTCATTTTTTAACAGCAGCAGCTTTCCCATATTTAGCTATTAGCCCAAGGGCAGCATTAAGCTCAGCGTCCATGGCTATGTCCTTATCCTCATCATCTTCCTCTTTTCCATCAAATGGTAGTGGAGATCTGGTCTTGAAATTGTCTAATATGATGTCAAAAAGGTAAAGGTTCAGACTTGCATACTTGAACTGCACCTCTTCCTTGCATAGCTCAAAGGTGCCAAGGACATTCTCCTCAGAGAATTCGACTTGAAGATCAAAGTATCTTTGGAAAGCCATGAACTTCTAGATAATTTTTTCCTTGCCCCTTTCCTTGTCCTTTTCTTTGGCTTTCCACTCTACCTCGAGCTTGGACCTCAACTTGACAATATCAGCTCGAGCCTTATTAAGTTTTAGTTGACTTATTCCTTTATAGACTTAACTGAGACCTTTTGGACCTATATCTCTTCCAACTTGGCCATCAATTTAGCTAGAGCTTGGTAGGTATGGTGCATGATTTCGCTAGTTGATCAAAAGAGAATGGCTAGAAGCTTTTTCAAAACTACAAAAAAAAACTCGAGTTTAGATTTGGAAAATAATGAAATTCATTAAACAATATAAAAATTGACCTAAAAGATAACTTACTTTTTTGAAGGACAACAACCCTCATGAACTTCTAGACTACATTAGCATCCTTTAAAGGATTTTTACTAAAGTCATACTCCAAGCCAATAGAGAAGCGCTTTGAGTTGGGCTTTAAAATATGGACCTCAAAAGTCATTATAGAAGGAAGGCTTTAGTTTTCTACTTTTTAGAAAGGAGAGGCCTCCTAACCTGCTGTTACCTTTTGCTTACCTTTGACACTGGTGGGAGCTCGAGTTGTAATACTTGACAATTGAGAGATAAGAAGATCAATTATCTTAATCCTCTTTTGGAGGGAGCCCCGACCTACATAGGCTATTTTGGCCTTTTTTCTTCCATGGTTAGTAAAGGAACTTATGGAATTCGAATTTCTTGGATTGCGGCTTAGTGTTGTCAGATATATCTACAAGATGAGCTAAGTGTTAAAAACATTTACAAAACTAAATACCTTACAAGGTTACCTTAAACCTACCCTAATATTTGGTTTAATTCACTACTTCAGAGGAAATAAGCATGTATGGGTCTAAGATTGGCTCTCCCCTCTTGGTGAAGTCTAAAATCTCATTTCAAGTAATGAAATCGTTCATCGTGAGATGTGTAGGTTCATATTAAAAAATACCAAACTCATTCAAAATCTCTCACATTTAGGGCTAATTATTTTTATTTTTATTTTTTTTTTTAATGTAGAGGAAGAATGGCTTTCAATTTTTTATTAAGCTTGGATAATCTGCAAATATCTTTTTGGCTGGATGAGCTATGATATAAAACCACCATTTATCATGTGAATATTTTTAATTGAGAAGAACTCCCTGAATAGAAGGAAAAAAATGAAAAATATCTAGGTTTTTATAAAGAATTATAAAGGTTGCTATGTATCAAAAATAATTTAGAGTGGATTAAGTGATTGTTAAATTATAAAAAAGAAAAAAATTCAATAATAAAAAGATATAAAGAAACCTTAAACTGGCTATTATGAAATCACAATACACTAAGAGTTCATGACTTTCTAGGGGATAAGTGATCCAGTCCTTGATGGTTGGCATTGATACAGTGTACCACTCCTTTGAATGGTCAAAATTAACTCTCAGAGATCAAACATGATGAGTATAGCACATATTAGGGCAGTATTCAAGTTAACCTTGCCCTTTAAGCTCTTCATCACGTCCTTAGGGTTTAGGCCTAAAGAATAAGAGTGAATAATAGAACCTGGTCTAAGACCTTTGAATCTAAAGACTCTTCATCATCTTCACTTTCTTTTTTGACCTGACCGACCTCTCATTACAATTTTCTATTAGAACCCTTATCATCATAAGAATCTTTATTGTCAAAAAATTCAGACTTCGAAGCAGAAGCAAGATTTCGAGTAGGAGCAATAGTAGAGACCACCACAATGTCAAAAGAAAAAAAAATTCAGGAAAACTCCTCAAACAGTGAAGAGAAATGAAAAACAATAACCGGGGTCAGTTTAGTAGAATGGAGGATGGAGGATGGAGGAAGAAGGAACAAAAGGTTTGACTTTAGAAAAAAAAATAGCAAAAGAAGAAAGAAGGTTAGCTAGAGAAATCGGACTAACCTTCGACTTTGGAATTAGGGAGTTTTCGAGCTCAAAATCAACAGTAGCCATGAGCTTATTTATGTTTTGGTAGAACTATTCTATCCTAGTGTGAGCATTATCTTCGACTCTTTTTTGCTTTTCCTCTTTCATCGAGTTTAGCCAAAAAAATAGCCTTAAAGTAGTCTATTCTTGCAATGATAAAATGGACCCTATCACCCTCATTCCAATTGCTGAGCCAACCTCTCCTTAGAACCACTTTTGTAACTTACCAAACCCCTAAAGCTTGCATTAAAAGACATTATAAAAAAGAAAAAAAAATGAAACATATTGAAGTTAAAAAAAAGAAAGAAGGTAAGATCTTTAAGATTGATTAAAGTAGGTTGGTTTGAGAGTAAAAAGATAAGGTGAAAAATGAAGGCCTCAAGAGGCCTTTTATATAGCCAACATTAAGATTAGATGAACATTTTAGATTGTGCCACATGCTTCGATGATTATCTAGGATGACTCTTCATTTTTTCAACTCTGGGTTTTTACTACCCAAATACCTTTCTTCATTAAATATGATTTTTAGACAACAAAAAGAGAAATCGATCGTTTCACCTCTTCAAATCGGTCAAATTGATCATAAAACCTAGGTCAAGTCGATGAAACGGATCAATTGCTAGGTCAACCTATATTAAACTTGGAAATCAAACTCCGACACAAAAAAATATATATACAAATCTCATATCGGTACACATTACGTCAAACACATAAATCACATTAGTAGTTACTCATAAGTTTGCTTAGCCCAATCTCGAGCCGCTTTGACACAAGATCACTCACCTTGACAACCCTAAAACGAACCAATTAAATATATAATTCAAAACTTATGCTCTAGATCAAACTTGATACTTCTGATCACATGTTAGGTCAACGTGTTCTAGAGTGACCGAAGCCACACTCAATAGCTGACAATTAATCATAAATCTTTCTTACTCGACCCTTACGTTAGACTCAAAAGCAATTCAATCTCGACAATGTGAGATCGGGTTCAAAGTATAAATTTTCAAAATTCATACCAAAACTCAAAATTGAACTATCGAACATGTGCAATAAAAAAGTTTAATCAAGCATTTATCAATATGATACTAAGACCAATGTGATACTAAGACTGTTCGATAAAAAGATAAAATATTAAAAATATTTTTATCCCAAAAACAAATTGATACTTTTCTTATTAAACTGTCAACAAGTAATTAAAAATATTTTTTATTTTTAAACTAATTAGACATGTATAATTTTAAGTCAATTTATTTATATCATTATTTTACCTCACAAACTCTTCCTTTTTTTACTTATAAATAAAATCATCTAAATACATTTTATTAAAATTTCCTTTTCCTTTTTAACTTTTTATTTTTCTCTTTTCAAAATTTTTGAGTAGCACATAGAGTCCAAACCAAGAAACACTTATTTGCTCTTAACGACTCTCCCTTCTCTATATTCTCGTTAACCTTCCAACCTCCCCAAATTTTGACCTTGAGCATATGAATCCAAAGTAAGAAACACTTATTTGCTCTTAGCCACTCTCTTGATTTCAAGACCCTGACCGTCGGGTCTCTGTATTCTTTATCGTGATCTCTATATTCTCTATTGCGATTGATTTCGAAGCGATTGATTTCATATATTTTAAAAAATCAAATGAGCCGAGCGTATAGATATTTTAAAACTCTAATTGCAGAGCGCATGAAACAATAAGTGAACAGAAAACCGAAGCAAAGTCATATGAGTTGTTACGCCTGAAGTCATTGATTCAGGAGTAAGGTAGCAATTGATATGAAAAACACAGCAATTCTCAAAATTTTTTTCATTAGTTATATGATGATAGAGAAATTCCTCTCATACACCTCTGAAAACTATATACAAAGACAAGAACCCACCCATGGAAAGCCCAGCACCATGCCCCTGATATAGTTCGATCAGTCATCAAATCTTCTTTTGATTGACCAAAGCTTATATGAGTCAATGATTAACTCAAAGGACGTTTCTTCTAATCAATTAATCAGAGTTACCGCTCAGTTGGGACCCCAACAGCTCAGGTACATGACTTTCCGTAAAGACTCTTCCGATTGTTTAGACTTTTCTTCCCTGCTCACTCCATTTGAAATTGCAGCTGAGGATTGAGAAGACAACTTCTTGGCCTGTGAAGCTGACCTCACATGGTTCTTAGCTTGCTGGATACCTGACCTTACAGTATAGTTCCATCTGCAAATACCTTGGTCTTTCAATGCCTCCACAGCTCCAATACTAGCTGCCACAATCCACGCCCTGCTAGTTGAACTCATCTCGGAAATACTCTAGCTTTAACTATTCAACACTCTGAGTCTTGAAATATACGAGAGATCAGAAACCAAAGATTTTGTGCTTCTGGTGATACATAATTGGAGAGAAGGGGCTTCTTATATATAAAGATAAGGAATAGGAATTACGATTATTGTTGGATGGATCAAAAAAAGAGGCCAAAAAGCATGGGGATGAAACTACAGGCGGCTGTTGCTGTTGCTCGTGGTTTTGAGGGGCTGGAAAAGCCAATGGTTTCATTTTCCGGGTACACATTCGGAACAATATGACTTTAAAGTCCATGTAAAACCACTTCATGACATCAATTAGATGGGGAGAAAAATGGGATTTACGATCAATAGTAAATTGTGGATAATTAATTAATAGGCAGTGGGCACACGGTTTTTGCTTAGAAATTCCATCAAAGGCAGGCGGAGCATGGGAGTCCAAACCACCTGTTTTCTCAAGGGTTGGCAATTGGGAAATGGGATACAGCTTTCAACTTTCAAAGCAAGAAACAAGAGTGACTTATTTTTACGCAGATGGGCAAACTTCTCGCAACGTGCAAAGTTTGTAAATGCTTGCACTCTTATAAGTGCGTGTTTCCTTGTTCTCTAAAACCGCGTTACAGCTTCATCCGTTCACAGAGTAACCGTTTATGCAAATAAAATAGAATTATATTGATAGTTGATAACGGTTTGATTTAATTTTTTTATTATATAATAATTATAAATTTTTAAATTTTAAATAAATTTGAATCAAAATTTTATATAATTTTATTTATTTAATTTGAATTTATCGGATTTAATTTATTATTTTTTAAATATATTTAAATAAATATAAACATAAAATAATTATTTTTATTTTATAAAAATTAAAAAATTAATAAAAATATATAATTCGATTGATCATTTTTTTTTAATTTTCGTTTCTTGATTTCAAATCTAAAATAAATCTAATATATTTATTTATTATCCAAATTTAATCCGAATTGAATTGAACCAAATTAAATATTATAATTTTAAATTAATTTTAAATTTTTTTAATTTTTTTCTCGTTTATAATTGCATTGGTTATTTTTGAATTTATAAATTATCATAAAATTAAATGATGTCATTTTCTTAATTATTAAATATAAATTTTTATTAATTTTTAGGATAAATATATACATTTTTTATAAATTTATTATTGATGTGCAGATATTTTTTATTTATTAATAATATACAAAATTTATATATGGATAATACATCAAATCATGTTTATTTTTGTTATTAAAACATGAATCGAGAAATTATCAAAATTTTAAAAAATAATTAATTTATGAAGGACGAATTTTATAATATTTATTTAATGAAACTACGGAGAAGTATATATTGTTTTATCTAGCATAAACTACTCATAATCGAAGGAGTGATGGGAGGAAGCTAATAATTATCCATGCAAATGCAATTATGGATCGTCGGCGGTTAACAATATGAAGTGGCTAGCCCCTGGAATGCAACCAATTTTAGGCGGTTAGCAAATGGCTGGCGCATACCCCTTATTTGTATCTCCGAATGCGACTAGTCAAAAGCAGAGCTTTTCAGTTTTCACGCTCTAGCATATAATAAGCTCACAACTCATAATGGAGTCTTACCCCATTCCAATAGAAGGTTCCATCTGTAAGTTCCAGCTAGCCCAACTGCAAGTAGCATTAAGAATGAGCTCAAGGCATTTGCGCAGGATGTGTAATGTGTGAGAGCCATTCAGGGGTGAAAGACCTTATCTGTAAAGGGTCATGGGTGGGGCCAAGCCTAATTATCACCTGCACGACAAGCCCACATCGGGACCTGGAAAGTCTTCTCAGGTTAGATGCGTCTCAGGCACCAGAGACCCGTCAAACAGGTTGGCTTAGGTGATAAACAGAAGCCAAGGGAAGCTGAAAAGGCTGAGAACCTCCTGAATCTCATCTGCTGGGGACCCACTGTAAATTAGCCTCTCATCTGTATATATGTATATTTGTGAGGCTGTTCGAGCTTTCTTTTCTTTTTTGCACTGAAATCTGCGTCGTGGGTTATGATATAAAACACTATTAAATCAATTTCTCTAAGTAACTGCTTGATGAATTGGAATTTCATTCCTCATGGTCATATATAGTATAGATATATGCTATATGATTTAAGTTACCAGGGACAAAAAAAAAGTATGTACCAACAATAATTGCAAAGGATATGCACGTGCCCAACAAAAACAAGATTATAAAGGATGTTTAAGGGGTAATCAAGGATTAACGTCGCGTTTGTCCAATCACAACAAGCCTTACCATCATATGAATTCCAATATGAAGTTCACAAAGAATCTTTACTTATGTTGAATATGCAATTCTTTCCCTCCTGCTTTCAGTTGAAGTTTGACAGATATTCCGGCCCTGGCTAAAAATCTTACGGGCAAACTAATATGCGTTTGACAGTAGAGATAAGTGATATGATATCCAATTCAATATAGCACTATGAGTATGGGACATGGATACTGGGAAAGAATCTTGCTATTATCAGGAACAGACATTACACTTTAAGCTACAATCATTTAAGGACCGAATCATCATAAGACTATAAAGTGATCCTTACGCCGTTGTGCATTCCAAACTCTTGTTCTAGTTTTCAATTTGTTAATGTAACGAATCAAGACAATGTTTGGCGATTTTTGTTTTATTACCATTTTATTTCCTAGTGGCAGACATAAAGGGAAGGATAGATTTAATTGACGAAAGAAAAAATATATACAGACCGAGTATTAGCTGATATATTACACATTGATTCATTTTTAGACAGCAGCCTAGTGAAAAATGCAACATAAATGGAAATTTTAGAGAAAGTCACACTGAATTTTACTATGGGAAGATAGCTAACAGTTATCATGGTTCTTCTAACTTTACCCAAGCTAAGTGTTTCTTTTAAGCTAACAGTTATCATGCTTCTTCTAACTTACCCAAGTTAAGTGTGTCTTATAATCGGCATTCCCATTGACATGTTGATTCATGTTTGGACTAGTTTCTACCTCTATGTATGGCCAAAAGTAAAACTAAGCTTTGCAGTATATATCAAACGGTAGCTCTATATTAGTATATATCACTTTTCATTCAAATCGTGCTATTTAATCTTTTTTTCAAAAAATGTCAATTATTTATTACAATAACCATTAATGAGTTTGTTGAAATAAATATTCATTGTTTAATTATAACATATGATATGTAATAAATAATTTTTTTTTTCAAAAATATATTTGAATGGAAATGACATATGCTGATATGAAATAGCAGTATTGTAATCCTTTTTACTTTTGTAATGTGTGGCTACCTGTATTTATTTCGGTAGAATTTCTTTTCCTGAACGAAACTTCTAAGTTCTTTCCAAACGACAGCTTCAATTGTTAATTTGACAACTATATTTAACAGGTTTTGTAGCATGAGCAATTTATCAAAAGCTAGTTTTTTGCGAGATCAAGATAAAAAAAAGTTAATGACGCTTTAGAAGTAGGGGGTTTTCATTGATATTGCTCAAATCGAAAAGCCAAGGATGGTGGATCTACTTATTACTCGAGTAGGTAGTTCTGATGCTGTTTTGCTGATTTGGTCAATCTAGATCATGTGCTCTGCTGAAGAGGATTTGAAAATTAATTATATTTCCCACTTAAACTTCTTAAGATAATTATACTTCTTTGTACATACACATACTCTGTGTGCTCTAGACTGCTTGGATTTGCCATAGGAAACAGTTCTAGAAGAAGACACTCGAAGTTTAAAGCCCACTTAACAACTTTCGTTGACACTAGTTAGTTCCTCAGCAGCTCAAGTACATCACAGTCCCAAGCGACTCCTCAGCCTGTTTAAGCTGGTTGTCATCAAGTGCTTTTAGCAGATTTATCAGTATTCATGGGATTAAAGGATCCTGAAATTCTTCTCACTCACTTAAAGGAAGATTTGATAACCGAGTCAGCTTTTAGAGCTCGGTATTCCATTCCTTACATAACATGTGATTCTACTTGGAAGAATTCCCTGCTTGTGTTCCTCAAGCTCATCTCTAACCAACCAAATGCTTTCTTCAGTTGGGTTTGGATGTGTGTGATCAGGAGGGAGAGAAAAAGAAAGAGAGAGAGAGAGAGAGAGAGAGAGATAGAATTCTGGAGGAGAGAAGATGAGAGAAAAGGCATATGCTTAGAGAGTGGCCTTGTAGTTAACTAATTACTATACAAATTGGAGGGGGAAAGAGCCTGGAAATGTTATTTCCGTATATAAAGACCATCAAAACCTCCGGTAGTATACCAATTTTACATTTGTGGTTCGTGGCTTTTGAAAAGAAAGTGATTATATTGTCGATGTTTTCCAACGACCATGGATGATGGATCGATTAGATTAATCCATTGAAGATCTGATTCATCCACCTGGCGAAATCAATTCCTTCAAATTTGATACTGTATAGAGTTGAACTTCATTTCTACAACTGCTTCAAAAGTAGAAAATGCACCTACTATGCTACCTGTAAAAATGTCATCATTTTGTCTACCTTACTAAAATGGAAATTTCCCACAATAGCATCGCTTGGGTTGTATTTTACTGCAACTTATTAGTTATTATGGCCTCTGACCTGTAGTTTTACCTTAGTATCTAAACTGTTACAGAGAGGTGGCTAGCAAATGCAACCCTGGCTGGTATCTAGGTAGTAATGCAAGTTAGTGGCTAGATTCCATTAGAAAGACAGGAACGACTGAAGTTCCCTTTATCCGATCTCAATCTTCCTGGAATCTCTTTGTTGTATTTTTCTTTTAACACTGTACCCATTTGTTTTTCCTTTTCTACTTCACCAATATTTACATTCCCTCTTCTTCCTGATTCTTAGTTAAGTTGGCGTTAATTTGTGATTTCCTTATTCAAGAAAGAATTATTTGTGCAAATATGAGTGAATGTGGCCCCGCAGTTTGGAATCCAAAGTATATGTGGAAGTCCAGAAACAGTTTTCTACCCTCTTCAACGTTTGGTTGCTATGAGTTTACACTTCATGCGAATCAAAACACGTTGGATCCGAGATCCATGCTCCACAGCCCAGCTTGGTGTTTGAGTCATCAAGCAAAGAAAAATGTCAATCATTTTGTAGCAATACTTTTGCCAAAATCTTGTCTTGAATATGATAAACCAACCACAATGGCCCATATTCCATCAGGCTTGAGATGAGGAGAGTAGTAACGAGAAAAATGTCATCATCTTTGTTTGCTTACTAAACTGATAGAGTCCCATTTTCAGGCTTCCTTCCACCAGGTTGTTCGCAACGTAGCCGCTCAACCGTCTGGCTAAATCCCCGTACGTAAAATTACAAATTCAATTCAAAGAGTCATTTGTTGTAATGTAAAGAAACTTAGCATTTCAAGGTAATTAAGAAAAGAAACAATCTTTGGGTATATGTCACTTCAAAGGCTTTCCCCTTTCAGGGAAACCTAAACCACACAACTAAGAGAGAGAAGAATACACAAGTTTTGAGTGGCCACGTGTCAACAGCTCAAGAGCTCCTCTCCAAATTCATAAAAATCCCCCATTTCCCTTCGCTTCTAACACTGGATAAGCCCCTCTTCTGTCTCTCTCTCTCCTCAGTTTCAAGCCAAGTTTCCACGATGATATAACTTTGAAATCCCAAATTGCCAAACCCAAAAATTCCTTTTTTTTTTTAATACTTATATAATACATATACAGTTAGTTCCAATGGCGGCAGTTAGTTCTCTATCTTTCTCGGCAATTGGTCAAACTTCCGCCGACAGGAAAGTCAATGTCTCATCGGCTCGTTATCTGGCTTCCAATTTCGAAGGATTCGGTTTCCGCACAAGCCTTTTGTATCATTCCCTCGGGGTTCGAGTTTCCACTGCAGCTTCTTCTTCCGTTGTTCATTGCATGTCTACTGCTACTGGTTAGTTATTTTTTTTCCCTTTTTTGGTTTGCAATGCTGGAACTTGGCTTCACGGAATTAAATTATAGAGATTATTCGATTTATTAATATTTTTGTTGTCTGTTTTGAGTTTGATTTTCAGATGTCCCAACTGTATCTGAAACAAAGTCGAATTTTTTAAAAGCATATAAACGACCCATCCCAAGTGTGTACAACACGGTTTTGCAGGAGCTGATTGTGCAGCAACATTTGATGAGGTACAAGAGGACTTACCTGTATGATGCCGTGTTCGCCCTTGGTTTTGTTACTGTATATGATCAATTGATGGAAGGATATCCGAGTGATGAGGATCGAGATGCCATCTTCCAAGCTTATATCAAAGCATTGAAAGAGAATCCCCAACAGTATAGGTTTGTCTATGGATTTTCCATGTCTTCATTTACCTAGCAATGATGCTAATACTAATTGGCATGGCTAGAAATTCATGATCTAGATTAGGAAACTTTCTATCAGAAATGCAAAAAGACTATGTTGAACTATTTCTTTTTAGGAAGTAGAATGTGGAAAGGAAATGCTGAAATTTCTTCATGTGTTCGAAGATCTTAAATATGGTATTGTTCCTAATAATGCATGCATTTTATTTAATTAAATCTTCAAGTAGTTGCGAAGACGGATTCCTTAAAATGTTCTTTTGTGTGTGTGTGTTGTGGCCTATAGAATTGACGCACAGAAATTGGAAGAGTGGGCCCGTGCTCAAACTTCCAGTTCACTAGTTGAGTTTCCATCAAGAGATGGAGAAGTTGAGGGGATACTGAAAGACATTGCAGAAAGAGCTGGGGGAAAGGGGAGTTTCAGCTATAGCCGTTTCTTTGCTGTTGGGTTGTTTCGTCTTCTTGAGCTGGCCAATGCAACTGAACCTACAGTTTTAGAGAAGGTAGAATCCTCCTTTCCTTTTATCTATTGACTATTGGTTTAGTTTCAGACTAAGTTCTGATTATTCACACCTCAACATAAGTAGAATTTATCAGGCGCGGGGCTAAGACACTATTCTAAGATTGTTTGGCAAGATAAGTGAACACTCGTTAACTCACTAAAGCCTTAACCCGAATCACCCTTAACTTCTCTTTTATTTGCAAGAAGCTGAGGATAAAAAAAACAATGGCAAGAGAACTGGATATAACACAATTCACAAATGAATCTTTCAAATTTTGGTGATAAAGTATAAGGAAAAGCTGCACCTAGGATTTTTATTTATGACATCTGTCTCCAACAGCTTTGTGCAGCCTTAAATATCAACAAAAGAAGTGTGGACCGAGATCTTGATGTGTATAGGAATCTTCTTTCCAAGCTGGTTCAAGCGAAAGAGTTGCTTAAGGAGTATGTTGATAGGTAAATTCTCTCCTCCTAGTTGACTTTTTCTAGTTCATAGTATCATATTCTATTCCTTTTGCCTGCTCTGTATTCTTTGCTGCATAAGTACAACAGATATAATTGGTCTGAGTTAGAGCATTTACACCGTAAAGTCTTGCTATTAAACCTTCTTGCAGTAGCAAGCAAATTTTAGATATGAACGTCCTGCAAGAAAGCTATTTTTAGATGTGAACCTCCTGCAGGGATATTAATTTGCAGACGAATTGCAAACTGGGAGATAAGAAGTAAACACTTAACATTTCAAAGATACCATGCTAGTGCACCCACACGTGAAAAAGTCAGACTTGCTTCAGTTTCATCTTATACCTGAAAACCACTCTTGAAAAATGAATAGAGTAGCCAGTTCGGTACCTTCAATTGTAAATGCAGTCATCACTTTGTACTTGAATTGCTACCTTAAAGATGTGATTCTTCGCCAATGAATTTTAAGATATTAATGTAATTCTTTCTTTGTTGTTGAATTGTTTTACACGATGCTGTTGTCTGAAATGTTTTTGACCTTCAGGGAAAAGAAGAAAAGAGAAGAAAGATCAGAATCACAGAAGGCCAATGAGGCCGTCAAAAATTGTTTGGGTGAATACCAATACGTTGGCCAGTAATTTGATCTGTCTACTCCAGTATGCTTATCATCTTTGGTGATACTTCAATACCCATTTTGTTTGCTCCGAGGTAGAAACAGAGTAGAAACAGTAACCTCCATCATTTAGGCGCAATGTGTTATATTATAACTTGTGTACTGTTTTCAGTTTGGATATATGTGTTTTTCCGACACAGTCTCAACTCTTCTAAGTGCATCCTTTGCTCATAGTCCATCAACTTCTTATGGCATCGTAGAACATTTGTCTCATTTCGATTAAATCCATTCACAAGTTTCAAGATTTATCCATTCTCTTGATTTCTTTAATGTAATCTAAACATAGGATTCTGTAAATGTTATATATATACATGAAATCCTCATTCAAATCTTTCAAGCCTTTCAGGGTTTTAAAAGTTTCAGGCCGGTATCAATGTTCCATCTTCAAATATAAAAAATGAATAGCATAAACCTTGATTAACAGTCACAAAACGGGGAAACTTTTAAGATAACAAAACAGTTTTCAATGCCGCCAAATTACCCAACCCAACCGAAACCAAAATACCGGTAAGACGTCAAGTTCCCCCAGATAAGGGCTTCGTTAAGATGGGATCATCTAAGACGAGCAAATTAACTAACTATGAATGGCAACTTTTACAGTAATATTGAAACCAAACTAATACTGAACCCCGAGAATCACTGTTACACGTTAAGTAATGAGCACAACAAATGAAATATCAAGTTTAACTAAGTAGAGAAATATCAACCTCATCTGCGATTCTGAACGTGTCTGCCGCACCAAATTTCCTATACTCATCTGCCTCATTTCTTGAGTCTTCTTCATCACTATCATCTTCCTCACCATTATGATGACTAGTTGATGAGGTACCATCATGGACACTTTTCGATCGGCAATTTTGGGTTGCAAGCATGTTCACTTGTCCAAGGTGAGAAATTTCAACCACAACCGTATCATCATCAATCGGCAGTGGTTGCTTCCAAGGTTCCCCATCAATCCTCATATACGTATGGTAAGCAGCACCTTTGTGAAACTCAAAGCGGATTCGGTGTGCCTAGTTTCCACAAGAAAACAAATAGTGAAATACTGAATTGAACAGAGATTTATGCCAATAAAAACAAATATATGTATGTGCACACACACACACACACACACACACACACACACACACACACACACACATCTAGGTCCTTGTAACAATGCAGGAAAATATTGGGGAGAAGTAAACTCATTGATTTGAGAAGATCCTTTTTTGGGGGAGATGGATTTGAACAAGGGATGTCCACTCTGAAAGTGGGGTTTGACTACTGAACTATGCCTTCTTAAATTATTACCTGTGCCAGCCGAGTTCCGTGTCCATTTGGAGCCAGCAACACAAGCCCATGCCAAGCATCTCTAAAACCAACAACTTCGAGGAGGCCATCATCTACATAAGGTGGAGTCAAGTCTCTCTGTAAAGTCAATTGAGATAAATATTTTATCTGATTCTTACCACCACAGTTAATTGATATTTCTTAACCAAAAAGAAAACCAAATGTCAAATATAAAACAGATCATCAAATGACAAATAGGGACTAACATGAAGCTGTTTTCTGCCACTTGGCGTTCCCCAAGGATTTAGACCACCAGAAAAGCTGGGCAAGTTGAGACATACGATCGACCTTATGCTGTTTAAATTGGGGAGGGGGGCCAGGGACATATGGGAAAGATATCAGAGGCTTAAAGCAGAAAAATCTGAAATAAGCAACAGTTAATGGTTTTACTTAACAAAAGGCTCTGTAAATGATATTTTCATTGTAACAAAACGCGAATCATCTAAGTAACAAAAAATAGGGATATGAAACTTGAGAAGATGGAAGAAAGAGACAACATGTTCATTTCCCAAAAACCATGAGAAACACATTGATGGTTCTATAATGTTGTTGAACCTTTCCAGAAAATGTGGGGTTTAAATTTAGAAGTTTTATACTAAAACATGGCCACTTCTTGCAAATAATATGTCTTAACCAAAGAAAATTTGTCATGAATAGTGAGTTACTACTTTTCTTTTTTCACCAGAGAACTTATTGGGCCTTTTCCTTTCTCTTATTTCGGTCCATTAATCTCTTTTATACTTCTTCAGTTGCTCTATTTATCAATAATTTCTAACACAAAACATTTATAACTAAATGCTAATGTAAAAGATATTAGACTCAATAACCCCAACTATCAAGTGAAATGGCACGCTCTAATAATAACTTCTACAGTAATTGAATGAAAATATACAGATTTTGTAACTTTTTAGCCAATATAAATTTGTTTTGTCAATTATGTGAGGCATAGTAGTATAGATTTTAATATCTTTTCCAAGTATTGTAATATATAAATTGAATTACCATTTAGGTGGAAAAAAGATGCCACCAAGTGAATAGATGAGCCATATATCTTGTTAGCATATGCTTGTTGTGTTGATCAACAAATGAATAGACTCATCATTTGAACCCTATTGCTATATTTTTCCTCTACATTGTGTCGTAATGAAAATGTTTGGTATGAACAGATCTTTTTCCTTCATGTATGAACAAATAAGAATGGTCTAAAGCCAGCAACCTGCATTAGACCAAATGAAAATTACCTGTGTGGTATGTGGAGGTCTTGCCATTCACCATGTTTCTTCATGATTTTCACTTTTGCAAGCTGGGAAACATTCCTGTAGTTTAAGATCATATAAAATTTTCAACTTACTCAGAAAAGAGCTTAAAATTATCTGGTAAGAGAGGATGTATTGTATCCAGCAACTGTAAGACCTAGAAGACTAAAAGACATTTCTCTACTCATGTGCCACAATTTGTCGCAAAATGAAAGGCTAAAATGCCAATTTGACACAGCACGTGGAAGTATAATATGGAACATATAAGTACTTTTCATATTATAAACTTGTCTTTTGAATTTATGTTTTATTTTCCATTATGAAGAAATTCATTAGAAAGAAAAAGGCAAACTTCAATGAAAAATGCATGAAACTTAAATGTCAGCCTAACCATTTATTTGTTAAAAGAAAAATTTAACTATTACACATAAAAGATAAAAGGTAACCAAGCTCACTTTGAAGAAGGATGAAAAACAGAAGCGGCAAACCACCCTTGTGTACAACCAAGCTTTGCATAAGTGCTCTGTTGGGAAGAAGTAAGGGAACATGAAAAATTCAGTAACTGGCATATCTTCCTAAGGGAGAATTCCAGTATCAAGGCCAAGCAACATCCAGATTACATATATATATATATATATATACATAGAAACACACACATACAAACATATATATATATATATATATATTCCATAACTAAAGTAGATCATTATACAGAACATAAATCTGTACCAATCGTCCTCAGCCCCTTGGCCTAGTGGCTAAGGAGGCCTTAGGAGGACATAAAGGTATTGGTTTTGAACCAAGACCTCCTCCCCCTTCCCCATGGGCTATGCCCATCCTGACGACCAAAACAGAAATCTGTATTTTCAATCACCAAGAAAGAAAGGTGAAAAATATTGTGGAGCTCATAAAAGCTAATTTTATGGAGAAGATTGAAACTGTTGAGGATCAAATGCAAAAGGAAAAAAAAGTGTTTTTGCTGTGAGATGCAAGTAGTTCAAATCCAGGTATACAAACTTTGCAAATGAGAACTCCAGAGCTCCATTATGGCAGCCTGTCAGGCTAATTTCAAATTTTATGCATTAATCGGCTAAAAAATTTTTTAAATGCTCCACATGATTGTGCTGAACAAAGCGTCTCACCATCTCTTTGAATTTATTTCCCACTCTAAAATAAAAAGCCAACATGTATTACAAGTCAACTCCATAAGTAGGGCCTTTCCAATAAGTTTCCCATCCTAGTTTGGACAGCAGAGCAATGTCATGTGGCGTCATGTATGGTTTCTAGTTCCTTCAATTTTTTAGTAAATGTCACGTATGTTAAAAACCCAATTGACCAATTTCTCAGTTATGGATGATAAGATAACTAATTCTTAAAAAAGATTGTCCTCAAAGCTAAAAGAGACTAACTCTATCAAGAAATATAAGCTAGCAGTGAATCATGTAACATCCTTAAAAAGGAAAACCCTGATGAATTGACTGCAAGTGTCCATGCATCAATCAAACAAAGCAGATGCACTATGACAGAACTATACCTGATTAACCAACTGGTTTTTAAATTTTTCTGGATGCAGCTTTCGCTCAGAGTGAAAAGCATAAGATACTTGAGCATCCATTCCTGTAGGCAACATTACAACAATATTAATGAGGTTAACCAGTTGTCAACTTGTCATGTTAGAAACAAAGTTGAGTAAACCAGATAACTATGCAGTGAGAATAAACAAATCTGTTCTTTATATTGGATGGTAAGATTAGGGATGGCAAATCTACCCGAATCCTTTGGGTTTCGATCCAACACAATCCTGCAAGGTCTTTTTTTTTTTTTTTGAAAATCGGTTTTTGAGTAAGGTTGGGTCGGATTTTTTTGTCTTGGGTCGAAGTTCGAAGTTAAGTTTTAGGTAAATGCGCCTTGCCCCGACCTAGTATCTAACAACAACAACAACACATTAAGCCTTATATCCCATACTTTGGGGTCAGCTATATGAAAAATCAAATAAGAGAATCAAGTTAGATATATTTATATATATGTAATTTTTTACTATTTACTATTTATTTAATTTTATATTTATATATAGGTATTATGTTTTTTGAAGAAATATATATGTATTATATTAATAAAATTATTATTTAATACTTTAACTTAAGTTATTAACTTAATAAAAATACTATATTTATATATAATTAAGATTTAATTTATATTAAAAAAAAAATTTATGAATATTATACTAAATTAAAATTATTAAATTAATTTCAAGTTGGGTCGATTGCTGTTTTATGCATATGCAGGCTAGGTCGGATATGAAAATAATGTTTTTATGTTGGGTTGAGGCATGGCAAGTTTTGATCAGGTCATGGTGACCAAAAAACCTCTCACCCTGACCCGTTGCCAGTAATGAAGGTTTCAAGTAGCTTAGCAAGTAAAGTCTTTCAGTGGTTGCACTAGGACCAGAGATTGAATCCTGCATTTCACTTACAGGAAAAGGGAGGGTAACTTCCCCTTGTTTAGCCTAACAAGAAGATGCAAGAAAGGAAAAGACAAAGAGAAGACTGTATGATAGTAACACAAAATTTGCAAATAAAACAGAAGGACTCAAAAAACACGTTTCTTGGAATTTCAAAAAGATAGTTCAACCAGATGTAAACTGGAATTAGACACATAAGGAAACCTTACATTTCCCAAAGTTTTTGTTTCAATCATATTTTCAGCAATATCATATATTCTTTACAAGATTGTTCAATTTCCATTAGGCAACAGAAAGTAAAAGGAATTAAAAGAAGAGTTGCTTTATGATATCAGAAAGTATAATCTATTGTACTTTAAGGTATCATTACAAAAAAAAAAAAAAAAGCCAGCATCCACACTTATAAGACACCAAGAAGATTAAGATAGCTTCATTTTAGCGACATAACAGTTTGAATACTAGCCTAGGGGAATTATTCTTACCCATGCTGAAGTAATTCCAGAATCCACCACGAAATGTATGGTAACCTTCCTGAGGAGCAAAAACATTTTATATAAGAATGTAAAAGCAAAACAATAAACAAATATTGCATTTCTTTTGTAAATCTTAGAATAAGGTACAGAACATTAACTGGAAGCTAGACCAAAGGTTCCAGGAAGGATTATATGCCACTGAAAATATTTAATGGTACAAAGAGAAAAAAGAATAAAAAACCTTTTGAAACCAGAAAAAGAAATTTGAAGTTTTCACCTGTGAGTTACAAGAGATAGTTTAAAAATCATACAGCTTCTTGATTGCAAAAAACAAAGAGTAAGACAAAGAAATGATTCTAAGATGGCACAGGAGGTAATGATAGAATATGTTACCATGTTCAGTTCATCTGTTGAAGAGACACGACCAAATGCATGTAAAGAATGTGGTAGCTCAAGAGGTGCTATAGGATCACAGGAACCTTCTTTTGGAGCTCTCATCCTCATGAGAATATGCCAGCTGAACCACAAAAATGCAGATATCAGTAACCATATTGAAGTTCTTTATGTTAGTTAACCCTATAATTTAATTGAAAAAATCATTAAGATTTATGTTGGAAGGTGAATATTTTTGCATAATAAAATATTATATCCATATAAAGTGAATAATAATAATAATAATAATAATAATAATAATAATAATAATAATAATAATAATAATAATGTACAAATGTAGTTACAAATTGGGCTTTGAGAGTTAAGGAGCATGGAATGCAAATATGCTTCTTTAAATTCTGGCCTCCTTAAAAGAGATAGTAGTGAAAATTGAAAATGATGGAAACAATCAAAAGGGAGAGAGAAAAAAAAGTTCTCTTGGTGATGTAGTTATATAGGAATGAACTCTGTTTGTGGATCCTACATCTTTCATGGAAGATTTCTTTTGTCAAAAAAGTTACCATTTAATTTTCCCAAAACTTATTTTAGAAGTTACACAGGGAGGATTGACAATTAATAGATAGTGATTCTTCCCAACTGCATACTTCCTAGCACATTTGTACATGGTCCGAGGATTGACAGCTGTGCTTTGCATGTGAAGATTTACATGATAACCAGGTAGAGGAGATGAAGTATATTGCATCACTAGAGGTTCATAACTTAACAGAGGCAAAGTCCCATTTCACTGAAATTGGATACGCAAACCAAAATTTGGCTACATCAGCACTATGCCGAATCAGGGAGTTCCCTTAGTTTACAAGAAGTACACTTCACATCAAGCACGTGTGTGTGTAAGATAGAGAGGAAGTGAGAGGAGTCATCTCAACTACATTACTTGTCTATTTTCATTTCCTTTGCTTTCATTACTTGTTCCAGGAATGACAACACGGAATTACGATCAGTCCCAGGATTCTTCTTGCCCTGTAATTTAGAAAACTGCAAGTTAGACAAGAACTTAAAAGCTCGTAAAATTGATGGAGATTATTCATGGTATAGAGACTTCCAGCAGATTCCTATTGCCAATTGCAGTGCCGATCAAAAATCAGAAGAATTTTCAGCAAACATTACAAATTTTACTGAAAGGCAACTTGGCTCGGCTCCACAACAGGAAACGAAAATGAGATATAAAAATTGGGAATACTATCAAGCCAATTAAGGCCATGTTGTGCCCAAAAAAGGACAGACTTATTCATCGTTCTATGTAAGAAAACTTATCAAGACGGTTGAACTCTCATTCTATCACTTGATTAGAACTAATAAAAGCAAGATATTCTTACCCAGCCAAAAGAAAACGGCAAATTGTTTCCAGTTCCCAAAGGAACTGTAGCAATTGGAGGTGGATGTGGCAATTTAAGATCACAAACAATCCCCAGAAGCCAGCCAGCTGTCCCATCACCACCAGCAACCTAAAGATCAAGCTAGCAGTAAGGAGTTAAATATATATATATATATATATATAAAAGATAATAATACTAATAACTGCACTGTTGGTCCTTGTTATTGATAGCATCATGCAAGAAAGATAGACCTGTAAGACTGTAAGCTATTAGGCACAACTTACAATTATTCTTAGTCTCTCATGAATCTTTGCAGCAAATTCATCCTTTTCTTGTCTCAGCTTTTCCAGTCTAGTGTAAACTCTGCGAAGCACCTTATCAGGGGCCTCTTGTCCCACATCGAAAACCTGAAATTAGTCACACCATGATTAGCGCTGAAGCAAATATCCAAATATGCATCCAGAAAGACTAAAGGTACCTGGTGTTCATTGAGGACAGTTTTATATGTTTTAAGAAGATCCCCACCCAACTGACCGCCACTTTTGGAGTTGATAAACGCTAGCACTGGAAATTTAGGTGCATCGGGAACATAGGAGGTCTTTGTTTCGTCATTAAATATATATGTAGGAATGTAGAATTCCTTCAAGAAGTCAGGGTCGGATTTAGAATCCGCCATTGCCGGGCCCAACTGCATTATCGAATGATTAATGATCGTCAAAATCAAGGTACCACTGGAAATTATAAGGGGTAAAAACAAAATATTTAAAAAAATTAAAATATAAAAAAATCAAAATAGAAAATTTTGAATTTTCGAATAGGATGCAGGAAAAAAATTGATTAAAATCATACAATTAAAAGAATTCTTATCTAAAGGCCCTGCATAACTGATTTCCAGGAGCTCATTACCGAACAATAATAGCATTGAGATAGATTACACAATATGAATTACTTGTAAATCATATCATGGGCGATTTATCACAACTTAAATGATAAAAAGGAAAAACGTTTAAATCAGAAAGAAATCTTCTAGCTGCCTCAGCTCTCGCTAAACCATATGTCAAAACATTAAAAGATGTCAAGTTTATATTACAACATTCGAATTCAGGAATTTTAACAAACAGGAAAACTGTATAACAAACAACAACTCATCCATTGCAAAACGAGAAGAAGAAAAAAAGAAGCAAAATGAAGTCAACCGAATTTGGGAACAGTGGAGCTGAAGCTTAGACAAGGTTTCCCGCTGTTGGAGAATGAGAATAACAACAACCAAACAGTAAAAAGATAGATTCCTTTGCTTGCTAAATTTGAAGCGAGGGTTGATCGTTGTGATTAGAAGCAGAAATTTAATTGAAAAAGAGAGAATCAGAAGATACCTGTTAAATGAATGAGAAGAGATCTGGTTTCCAATTTTCTTTCTATCTTTTATGAATTTAATAAAGCTTTTTCGAGTTAGGATATGAAATTTTTACGAAGTGAAACGCTTAAAGAGGAGATGTGAAGGGACAGAGTTGAGCTGTTCGGTATAGATTGTTTTATTATTATAAAGATCACAACATCAATGTGAATCGATGTTTATCTTAAGGAAATCCGAAGGGAGCTTCATCGCTTGGAAATTTTTAGGTGAGGACTCTGAATTCAAGTGTTAAAACGTGTGGGGGAAAACTGAAGGAACAGAACTCTCTTGTTATTCTGCGAAGCCAACCAGCCAGAGCCATTATGATTCTCTCGTTGACCTAAAAGCCCGATCAATCTTTCTCAAAAAAAAAAAAAGAGACTGCAAAACATGATGACGTCAGATTCCACGTGCCTAATTATTGCTAGGGTCTACCACAGTTACCACTCCAATCATTCATTCGGCGGCTACTGTATTACTATTGTTACATGAGCAGAGAGGAAGGGGCGTTTCCGGAATTAAATTACCCAAGCAAGGACGTACAACGACGACGTATCTGTCACTAAAAGAGATTGGGCATGGCCGAATGTAGTTGAGATTGCATGGTGCTAAATCCAGTCTCATCTTGGGCTGATTTTTAATTATTTTAATTTGGTTGGGTTCCAAGGAGGAATGCAAGATCAAAGCCCTAAATATAAACAAATAGGCCAGCACAGCACAGCACAGCACAGCACAGCACTAAACTAGGAGAGGAATCTTTAATCCAAAACTCCAACCCTATACCTATAGTAAAGATTTTAAAATGAGTTTGGAGATACGTTTTAACTTTCATATAACAAGAAGCTTTAATCCAAAAAAGAAAAACCCAGAGGCAAACATCAAAAGTAAATAAAACAAAGAAATTAGCAAACCTGATTTGATTTGAAACAGGACTTCCTTTTTCTTCTTCCACGATTTTCATTCTGATCATTCCGGAATGAAGGAGAATTACCCATGTTTTACATAAGAAGAGAAAGATTTAAACAAGGGAAAATGAATGATTTTGGCCTTTCTTTCTTTCTGGTTACGCCTCGCACCGCCGCACCACTCGTCCTCCGGAAGATGAACCTTTTGTACAAGATGTCACAAACAGTTAGACGTCATCTAGAAAGAAGTGATTATTTGGTAAAAAAAAAGACCTGCTTATGATCTCCAAAAGCAAATTAAAGAAGGGAAAAAGAAAATAAAAATGGCAAATTAACGACTGCTGGTTTCAGAATTCATGTGCATAGACTTTCCTTGTTTTTTTGTATTAAAATCTCCTGGCCTCTTCCGCCAATCCAAACCAATTATTTATAACTGTACTTTTTTCATCCTCTTTGGAATTTGAAATGGGTGATTTGGCTCCTTCCCATCTCGCACCTGGACAGCTCATTTCATGGTTAGATGAAATGCCACTTCATCATCATTGAATTCAATGGCTGTAACTGACATTTATCACATCATGAACATAAAAAGTAGCGCTACCCGTTGTACTTTCACAAACCATATTACTTATAAACTTTTTTTATTATTATAATTGTTTAATTAAAATACAAATTTATATAGAGACCTATTATTTATAAATATAAATTATATCTAAAATTTTGATAAATCTCATATAATTTTAAATTATAATTAATTAATTATATTATAACTATTGTAGATGATATACTTTTATAATTTTATTACTAAAATATGAAAAATGCTCTTAAAATATTAAAAATATTTAAGTAAATTCTTATATTATTATTTCATTTAAATAAATTCCTTAGTTTTTATTTTTTACTATTTAAAATTTTTTAGGACATGCGTAAACAATGACATATGTGGCAAAAAACTGTACATACGTCATACACATGGATGTGTAAAGATCAGAAAATTTCAAATAGAAGCTGAGTTAATAAAAAAATTTTAATGAGTATCATTATCAAAAATAATTATAAAAAATGAAATAACAATATATAAAATTAAATAAAATTTTCTATATTTAAAAAACTAATAAAAAAGATTAATTATTTGATGTCATAATCAAAACTAATTAGTGAAAAGAAAATATCTATATGAAAATTAATGAAAAGAAAATGTTTATATTTATATGAAAGTTAATAAAAAGAATTAATTATTTAATATCATTATCGAAATAATTAGTGAAAAAAAGTCTGCATGTAAAATTAATAAAAAAAATCCATATTTATATAAAAATTACAAAATTAATTTTAATTTACTTTTTATTAATTTCTAAACAAATATAAACGTTTCCTTTTTATTAATTTTACATATAAACATATTCTTTTTATTAATAAATAATTATTATATATCATATTATTAAAAATATATGTACATGAAAGATATTTATTATTTGATACCACAACAAAAAATAATTAGTGAAAAAAAGTCTATATGTGAAATTAAAAAAATTAAAAATACTTTTTATAACTTTCAATATATATATATATTGTAAGGTAATTATACATATTATTTGATTGAATGCATATGTTTTGTTTATATGTACATATGATTGGAAGATATTTTTCATATTTTAATCTAATTTCACCTTGCTAAAAACCTTTCTTCTCTAATTTTTTATACCTTTTTCATTTAGCAAAATTCTACATGATTTACAGATGATGAAGCAAAAGCTAAACTCACCTTTACTCTTTTCGGGTCTGCATCTTCAAATGGAAATTATGGTTTGATGAATTTTTTGGTTTCCGGAATTCAAGGCTGGTTTGGAGAGGAAATTCTAAGTTTGGTGAGTTCGAATCAAGTGAAATTAATCAGTGAATCAGATAGCAAGTGAAGTTTTTGTCCTTGTTTCAGCGATGGTTGAAAAAAAGCTTCTCCCATGACCGTCGGCTACACATAATGTAGTGGTTTTGCATCTATATACATATTATATCTAAGCATTTCAACTTTGAAGGGTCAAATGGAGCCGAGGCGGATCCTAAAATGGGAAAAGCATACCATACCATTCAAGTAATAATTGGATTTAGAAAGAAAAATACAAGACTGACTCAAGATATATGGATCCAGCAGCACTTAACATCCAACTACCCCATCAACACTTGGGTGAACTACAAATACTAATATCAAACCAATTGATCCATTTTATTCTCGTTTAAAGCTACATTCACCTCAATTCCACCCAAAATCCATATCATACACATGCAATTTTTGGCTACCCAGCAACTGCAGTAAGTCGCCCTGCACTTATAATTGTCTAAAACACTTGATATATAGCCAATGCTCTGCCCTCTCAAACCACTTCTCTTTATTTCTTTAATTCTCTTTCCAATAGCTTTCGCAGCCAAAACAATTCCATTTTCTTCCATTAACTCGTTTTTCTTTACGTCAACATCGCCTGGTTTAAAACAATTCCCAAAGTATGTTGTTGGCATCGGAAATTCCAAGCAGTTCGGCAATCAAACGGCAGTAGTCAAACTTATCATCATCTTCATCATGTGATAAATTATTGTTAACACTCTCTTTGGATTTAATCAAACAAACCCATATGAAGGCACATGTCACCATAAAAGTTGAGTTGTGATATTGCTCTGAATCAGAGCCTTTCCCGCACTGAGCTGTGACCAAACGCTTTAGTCTCTCGGCATGGGCTCGACCCAACACAAATATGGCCCCAACTTTTTCTGCTGCTACATGAGTTGGGGCTGAATTCTCACCACAGGATGATACCCATTATCAATAATTCTTCAATAGATTCAACTCTATTCCACCAGGATCCTTGATCACATCCTTGTTAATCAAAGAAGTGAATTTTCAATACAAGTCACCACCTGACCTATAAACACACGCGCAAGATCTCATGAAATGCATGAATGACTTGCCATTACCAACTACTTGACAATAAGTCGACCCGATGCAAATGCCAAAGTTTGGAAACACAGTGACTTGAAAAGCTATGATGGGGAGCACACGAATGCCATCTTCGGTTACACGTACCGGTGGAAGCTGAGCTACAAAGCGGTGTAACAATTTAACAGCACGAGGATAGATCATAGATCGATATGACATGGTTGAAATATTATCCGCGTACGGAAAAAATGTTGGAGAGTTTGGGAGAGAGAGAGCGCTTTAGCATTGTGAGAGTGGTTTCCATGAAATGCAAAGTAGGGTGAGAGAATTCATAGAAGAAAAGGAGTTGTATATGAGCAAAAGAAAATCATGGCATGTCAAAATAAGTGAAAGGGACAGATGTAGATATCAAATTTGTCCAAAACTTGTAATTTGATTTTCAGTCTGAGATTTGATTTATATTCAATCGGGCTTGAGGTTCGGTTTCATTATTTAAGCCCAATCTATTTTTTATTTTATTGTTAAATTAAACAAAAAAAAATCTAAAAAATACAAGAAAAGGAAAAAACAAAGGAGGTAGGGGTGCTTGGTGTCATGTACGGCACCACTGGCATCACCCCTCTGTTAGGCCCTGTGCCACCTACCCAGGCACAGGGCCAAAGCCAAACAAAATAGAAAAAACAAGAAAGGGCAAAGAGGCTGGTGATGGGGTGCTCTATAAATAGATCTTCATGGTTGTCCCCAAAAAGGGAAAGGAGGGAAGAGACCCTACATAAAAAAATTTTTCTAAAATAAAAAAAAATCTTTTTGCCCAAAAAAAATCACGCAAACAAAAATCATAGTCCTCGTCGATTAGGCGAGGAACCTAGTGCCAAGCAAGAACTACAAAAATAATAAAAAAAAGGGGTCAGTTTTAGTTTATAAAAAAAAAAGGAAAGAAAAGGGAGACTGAAACTTTAGGTCCAGATCTATGCCGATTGAGGCTGTTCCTAGTGAAAATGAGATCGGATCCAAAAAGAGCGCGTCGAGGAGAATATTTTGGTATATTTTTGGATTTTTTTACGATGGTCGACGATCACTGACGACGGCAGACGTGGTGGACAGCAACCGGTCGGTTGTGTTTAGAGAGAGAGTCTGAGAGAGAAAGATAAAAAAAAATGATCTGAAAAAAATTTTGAGCTTTTATAGAAACTGAGAAAAACCAAAACGATGTCGTTTCAATAAACGTCAAAACGATGTCGTTTTGAGCATCGAGGATCCGCGTGTCAGCTCGTGACCTGACCTGGGATTCACGCACCCGACTTGACGACCCGCTTGACCTTTGACTTTTGATCGGTTCAACTGAACCAGCCCAAACTGAGCCAAACAGACCCCCAGATCGAACTAGATTGGCCCCAAACCGCAAAACCCGATCAGACCGTCAAACCAATCAGATCGATGTTGACCGGTCCAGTTCAAGTGCAAATTTTTTTTTTTTGAATTTTTTTAAAATACTGTTTTTGTTATTTTAAATT